CCCCCCGGGGGGGCCCCCGGGGCCTGGGGGGCCCCCCTGGGCGCGGGGGGCCCCCGGGGGCCCCCGGGGACCCCCGAAGACCCCTCTTTGTTGCGGATGCGGCTGGCGCTGGTGGAAGCAGCAGCAAAGACTTTAAATAGATGCAGACTTGTTCGGTTTCACCGAAGAGCTGGGAGACTGGACTCGACGGACTTGGGAAGAATGGCAGCAAAGTTTTATTTGGATTTCGAAACAGCAGAAAAGTTCGCGCTGCGGCTCTCGGAGGGGCCCCTCACTGCTGCTGCAGTGCTGCGGACTTTGGCGGAGGCGAAGGACTTCGAGGGGCTGCGGGTGCGGCGCGAGGAGCAGGACGAGCTGGACCAGCTGCGCTGCAGCAGCAGCAGCAGCAGCAGCAGCAGCAAGGGGCGGGGCTGCTGCCGCATTCCCTGGAAGGGGGACCCCGACAGCACGGAAGGCAAAGTCTTCACGCTGCTGCAGGTGCTGCTGTCGGGGGCCCCCCTTTGCTGCTCCTCTCTTGCTGCTGATGCTCACTATGTGTTTATGAACTGCGGGCGGCTGGCGCGGGCGCTGCTGGCAGCAGCTTTGGCGGAGAGCAGCAGCAGCAGCAGCAGCAACAGCGAAGACGCAGAGCTGCTGCTGCAGTGGTGCAAAGCCTTCGAAAGAGGCTTCTGGCCAGACTCTTGTGTGCTGCGGCACTTCTGCGCGCTGGACTGCTTCTCGCGGGACCCGCAGCAGCGGCGGCGCGCGCAGCAGCAGCTGCAGCAGCACAGCAGCAGCAGCAGCAGAAGCAGCAGGAAGTTTGAACTCAGGCCCCAGGCCGTCGACAAAATCGAAAAGCTCCGCTTTTCTCAAGAAAGACTGCTGGCCTTAACTGCTGCTGAACTGGGGGCCATCTGCAGCAGCAAAGCTGACGGCGAAGACGCCTACTGGGCGCTGCGGCGGGTGCCTTTTGTTGCTGCTGCAGTGTCTGTTGCTGCTCTCGGCAGCAGCATCATTCGCGTCACTGTGCTGCTTAAGTTTGCTGCTGGCTTCCAGTGGACTGCAGCAATCCACGGCGGCGGGGAGCTGTTTCACTTGTGGCTGTCGGACGCGCGCAGCGGGCTGCTGCTGCACCAGGACACCGTGCTGCTGCAGCAGCAGCACGTGCAGCAGCAGCAAAAGGTTTCCTTCGCGCTGCCGCTGCAGGACCCCCTCGGCCAAACCCACTTTGTTGCTGCTGTCTTGAGTGACCGCTGGGTGGGCGTGGGGACGCATGTGCCTTTTGCTGCTTCACAGCTGTTTTCGCCTGCTGCTGCAGCAGCAGCAGCAACGCCGCTGCTGGACGTGCACCCCGTGCCCGTTGCTGCGCTGCAGCAACCCAGCTTCGAAGCTCTTTTCCCATTTTCTTTTTTTAATCCAATTCAATCTCAACTCTTCCACGTTTGTTACCACACGGACTACAATGTGCTGCTGGGGGCCCCCACGGGAAGCGGCAAGACCATAGTGGCTGAGCTCGCCATCCTGCGCTGCATCAAGCAGCAGCAGCAGCAGCAGCAGCAGCAGCAGCGGCTGCGCAACAAAGTGGTCTACATCGCCCCCCTCAAGGCCCTAGCAGCAGAAAGAGTTAGGGACTGGGAGCAGCGGCTGGGGCGGCAGCTGGGGCTGCGGGTGCTGCAGCTGACGGGCGACTCCGACGAGCCGCCAGCAGCAGCAGCAGCAGCAGCAGACGTGAATCCTGCTGCAGCAGACCTGCTCGTCTGCACTCCCGAAAAGTGGGATGGACTGTCTAGACAGTGGAGGACCCGCCCCTTCATCTCTCAAGTGGCACTTCTCATCATCGACGAGATCCACCTCCTTGGCCAGGAGAGAGGCGCGCCTCCTTTGCTGCTGCTGCTGCTACTGCTGCTCTTGCTGCTCAGCCGCTGCTGTTGCTGCTCAACTGCTGCTGCTGCTGCTGCTGCTCAACTGCTGCTCACCTGCTGCTGCTGCTGAGCTGCTGCTGCCGCTGCTCCACTGCTGCTCCCCTGCTGCTGCTGCTCACCTGCTGCTGCTGCTCCCCTGCTGCTGCTGCTGCTGCTGCTGCTGCAGGTCCTGTGCTGGAGGCCATAGTGAGTCGCATGCGTTTCGTGAGCAGCACTTCCGGCGTTTGCATGCGTTTTTTGGGGCTTTCCACCGCGCTGGCCAACGCGGCCGAAATTGGGGCTTGGCTGGGCATTGGCCGCGTCGGCCTTTTCAGCTTCCGCCCCGCAGTTCGCCCTGTGCCCTGCGCAGTCCACATCGCTGGTCAGCTAGCTAGCTAGCTAGCTAGCCAGCTAGCCACACAGCTAGCTAGCTAGTGGCTAGCTGGCCAGATAGCTAGCCAGATAGCCAGATAGCCACACAGCTAGCCAACTAGATGGCTAGCTAGCTACCTAGCTAGCTAGCTAGCTAGCTAGCTAGCTAGTCAGCTAGCTGCGTCATTGTCGGCTAGCTAACTAGCTGGCTCGCTAGCTAGCTAGCTAGCTACCTAGCTAGCTAGCTAGCTAGCTGGCTGGCTGTGCGGCTAGCTAGCTGGCGAGGTAGCGAGGTAGCGAGTTAGCGAGGTAGCGAGATAGCGAGCGAGATGACGAGATAGCGAGATAGCTGGCCAGATAGCTAGCTGGGTAGCCCGGTAGCTAGCTAGCCAGATAGCTAGCTAGCCAACTGGCCAGACAGCTAACTAGCCATGTAGCTATCCAGATCGCCATCTAGCTAGCCAGGAGGGTAACCGGCTAGCTGGGCAGGTGGCTAGCTAGCTAGCTAGCTGCAAAGGGTGCTAGGTAGACACACTTTAGCCGGCTTCGGGGTGAGTGGGCGCGAGGTGGGGGTTTAGGGTTTAGGGTTTAGGGTTTAGGGTTTAGAGTTTAGGGTTTAGGGTTTGGGGTGAAGGCTTCGGGCTATGGTCTCCAGGGTTTCCGGCTGGGAGGGGAGGGTTGCGGGCTGGGGCTCCTGGTCCGGGCGAGGGTTGAGGGTTGAGGGTTTAGGGTTTAGGGTTTGGGGTTTGGGTGTGGGGCGCGGCTGCGTCAGGACCCCACACTGCGTTCGGTGCTGCTGCACGGGGTGTCTATACACCACGCGGGCCTCAGCCCCTCCGACCGCGAGGTGTCTGCGCAGCTCTTCTCTTTGGGCTGCGTTTTGGTGCTTGTGGCCACTGCCACTTTGGCCTGGGGGCTCAACTTGCCCGCCAGGCTCGTCGTCATCAAGGTCAGGGTTTAGGGTTTAGGGTTTAGGGTTTAGGGTTTAGGGTTTGGGGTTGGGGCGGAGGGGGGAGGGCGGGGAGGGGGGCTCTCGGGCCTGGGCTCTCGGGTGCGGGGTCTGGGGTTTGCGCTTCTGGGGTTTAGGGTTTAGGGTTTAGGGTTTGGGGTTTAGGGTTTAAGGGTTTAGGGAGCCTGGGGGCAGCTAGCCAATATAGCTGGTCTCGGACTAGCAGCACAGGCAGCTGTGGCCATAGAACCAGCAGCAGCAGCAACAGCAGCAGCAGGAGCCGCAGCAGCAGCAGCAGCAGGGTGGGGTTGTTGTTATTTTGCTGCAGGGCACGGAGTACTTCGACGCCAAGACGAAGCGCTACGTAGATATGCCCATCACCGACGTGCTGCAGGTGCTGCAGTGTCCCTTTTTGTTTAGCATTATATTTAATTATTCAGCAGCAGCAGCAGAAGCAGCGACAGTAGCTGCAGCAGCAGCAGCAGCTGGAGCCGCAGCAGCATCAGCAATAGGCTTATCCTTCCTATGGTGCTGCGACAGGGCCTTGGCTCGACTCGTGTAGCTGCAGCAGCTGCGGCTGCGCCTGCTGCTGCTGCTACAGTTGCTGCTGCAGCTGGATCTGCTGCTGCTGCTGCTGCACATGGGTGCAGCAGCTTATCTGGAATATTGCTGCTGTTTTAAAATGCGCATCCACGGGCGCCACAAAGCTTGCGGGGACAAACCCGCAGCAGGGCTCTAGGGTTTAGGGTTTAGGGTTTAGGGTTTAGGGTTCAGGGTTTGTGTGTTGCAGATGATTGGGCGCGCGGGGCGGCCGCAGTTCGACACTGCAGCAGCAGCAGTGGTGTTGTGTCAGGAGAAGCAAAAAGGGTTTTTAAAACGTTTTCTTTATTTGCCATTTCCTGTTGAGTCTTGTCTCCATCTTTGTCTTGCAGAACATTTAAATGCAGAAATTGTTGCAGAGACCATCCGCAGCAAAACCATAGCTCTCGAGTACCTCTCCTGGACCTACTTTTTCAGGTAGGGTTTAGGGTTTAGGGCTTGGGGTTTAGGGTCTAGGGTTTAGGGTTTAGGGTTTAGGGTTTGGGGTTTAGGGTTTAGGGTTTGGGGTTTAGGGTTTAGGGTTTGGGGTGCTGTGCGTGGCGCCGCGCGCTGGCGAGCGCCGAACGGCCCAAGATCTAGTTCTAGCGTTCAGGGTTTAGGGTTTAGGGTTAGGGTTTAGGGTTTAGGGTTTAGGGTTTGGGTTGCAGGCGACTGGCTTCAAACCCGGGCTACTACAGTTCGGAGCTGCTGGCTGAAGACTGCCGCGGGGGAGGAGCAGCAGCAGCAGAGCGCCGCCGCAATTTAATTTGCTGCTACTTGGATGGTTTGGTGAGTAGGGCTTTGGATTTGCTGCTGGAGTTGGGCTGCATCCAGCTGCGGCTGCCGGACCCGCAGCAGCACCAGCAGCAGCAGCAGCAGCAGCGGCTCCAGCAGCAGCAGCAGCAGCAGCAGCAAGAGCAAGGGGAGGGCGGCGAGGCGGGCGGCGAGGAGGCGCTGACGGGGTTTCGGCTGGTGCTGCAGCAGCAGCAGCGGGAGAAGCAGCAGCAGCAGCTGCAGCAGCTGCTGCTGGAGCCCGTGATTGAGCCCACGCCCCTCGGCCGCATCGCCTGCTTCTATTACATAAAACCCCAAACAGCAAAAAGAATAAAAGACAAGATGCAGCAGGAAGTTCTTTCTTTTGTCGAAATCCTGAAGCTGCTCGCAGACGCAGACGAGTTCGACGAAATGCCCGTCAGGTGCTGCTGCTGCTGCTGCTGCTCCTGCTCCTGCTCCTGCTGCTGTTGCTGCTGCTGTTGCTGCTGCTGCTGCTGCTGCGCTGCTGCTTGCTGGAATGCCGCATTTGCTCGCTCCACTGCTGCTTCTGGCGGCCAGCTCGCGCTTCTGCTGCCGCTGCTGCCGCTGCTGCTGCTGCTGCTGCTGCTGCAGGCACAACGAGGAGATCCACAACCAGGAGTTGTCTCAGATATGCCCCTTTCCCGTCTCCGACGAAACTTTCGAGTCTCCCCACACGAAGACCTTTTTGCTGCTGCAGGCGCGGCTCTTCAAAAGGCCCTTGCCAATCACAGATTACAACACCGACCTCAAGAGCGCCCTCGACAACTCCATGCGAATCATACAGGTCTCCTGCTGCTGCTGCTGCTGCTGCTGCTGCTGCTGCTGCTGGGGCTGCTGGGGGGGTGTTGCTGCTGTTGCTAGTGCGGCAGTGGCTGGTGCTAGTTATCGCGAGGAAACGACCGTCATTTGGAGATCTGTTCGAGAATCAGCAATCATCCTGCAGTTGCTGCTGCTGTTGCCGCTGCTGCTGCTGCTGCTGCTGCTACTGCTGCTTCTGCTGCTGTTGATGGCACGTCGGTCGCTTGCTGCTGCTGCTGCTGCGTTTGCGTATGTGCTTCCCTCAGCTCAATGTGGGGCCTTTAGGGTTCAGGGTTTAGGGTTTAGGGTTTAGGGTTTGGGCGTTTGGGTGTTGCTGCAGGCGATGATTGATGTTGCTGCTGAAGAGGCGCAGCTGCAGCACGCGCTGTACACTTTGCTGCTGCTGCAGTGCCTCCGTGCTGCAACACATCCCGCCCGCAGCAGTCTCTTTTGGCTGCCGCACATAACAGACGAAGCAGCAGCAGCGCTGCAGCAGCAAGGGCTGCTCTCCCTTGCCCACGTGCGCCAGGGGCCTCGCTTTAGGGTTTAGGGTTTAGGCCTTAGGGTTTAGGGTTTAGGGTTTAGCTTGGGAATTGGGGACTTAGGGTTTGGGCAGAAGTTGAGGGTTTACGGTTTAGGGTCGCTGGAACGCAGCGTGGCGGTGACGCCGATAGTCCTTGGCTCAGGCTTCAGGAATTAGGGTTTAGGGTCTAGGGTTTAGGGTTTAGGGTTTGCGCGCAGCTGCTGGAGTGTCGTTCGCCATCTCGGGCTCTGGAGAGAGCCGGCCTCAGTTCAAAAGAAAGTCAGGAAGTAATTTCAGTTCTTTCTAGAATCCCCAGAGTCCGCATGCGGTATTTCCTTTATGCTGCTACTGCTGCTGCTGCAGCAGACACAGCAGCAGCAGCAGAAGACGGAGCAGCAGCAGCAGAAGACGACGGAGCAGCAGCAGCAGCAACAGAAGGCGAAGACGCAGCAGCAGTAGAGGAGGAGATTGTCTTCAATCGGCTAGAGCCACAAGTCATCAAAGGGCCAGATGGTACTGTCCCCCGCTGCTGCTGCTGCTGCTGCTGCTGCATTTGGTCCTGCTGCTGCTGCTGCAGTTGGTCCTGCTGCTGCAGCTCTTGTTCTCGTGGCTGCCGCTGTGGACGCTGCAGCAGTTGCTGTTACCCTAGTTGGCTGCATGCAAAGTCTTACGTGTATCTCTGCTGCTGCTACTGCTGCTGCTGCTGCTGCTGCTGCTGCTGGCCCTCAGGAGAGCCCACGCGGGCTTACCTCGTCCCTGCAGCAGCAGACCTGCAGCTGGAGGTACACCTGAAGGCTTTGGGACCAGCAGCAGAAGGATCTTCTGTGGCCAAGGGGGGCCCCAGCTCTAGCTGGTAAAGGGTTTAGGGTTTAGGGTTTAGGGTTTAGGGTTTAGGGTTTAGGGTTCAATTAGTGTTTTCGCGACTCTGCTGCGCCATTTGCGGCATGGCAGACTTAAGACCACCAGCTCTCGTCTAGACCGCAAAGTTTAGGGTCTAGGGTTTAGGGTTTAGGGTTTAGGGTTTAGGGTTTAGGGTTTAGGGTTTATGTTGCAGGTTCGTGATACTGGGGGATGCTGATGAGGCAGCAGATGAACTCGTGGCGCTGCGCCGCGTGCGCCTGAAGCCCCTTGGGCGCACGCAGTTAACTCTAGAGTAGGGTTTAGGGTTTAGGGTTTAGGGTTTAGGGTTTAGGGTTTAGGGTTTCCCTTTTTGTCTATTTGCCGCTCCGCAGCCCTCATATCGCCGTTCGCTTGTTTCTTTTTTTCTTTCTTGTTTTATTTTTGTTTCCTTTTACCTCTTTTTGTAATTTTTGTTTTTTTGTTTTTTATTTCTTTTTGTTTCTTTTTATCTTTTTTTAATTTCATCTGTCCCTTTTGTCTGTTTTTTCTTCTATTTCTCTCATTTTATCATTTTTGTCTTCTTTTGTTTTTAACTCTCTTTTGTTTTTTTGAATCCTTTTTGTTTCTTTTTTTTCTTGAATCTATTTTGTTTCTTTTTATCTTTTCTTTTCCTTTTGTCTCCATTTAATTTTCCTTTATTTCTTTTATTTCTTTTATTTTGTTTATTTCTTTATTTCTTCTTATTTCTTTATTTTTCCTATATTCTTAATTTCTTTTATTCCCTTTATTTCTTTCTATTTCGTTTTATTTCTTCACTTCTTTTTATTTGTTTTTTTCCTTTATTTCTTTTATGTCTTTTATTTCTTTTATTTCTTTCTATATCTTTTTGTTTCTTTATCTCTTTTATTTCTTTTATTCCTTTTATTTCCTTTATTTCTTTTATTTCTTTCTTTTTAAAATATCCAAAAATTCGACTGTTTCCTTTTGCCCACAGCTTTTCAGCCCCTGAGGAGACAGGCGAAATCTTCACTTTGTCTCTTTTCTTGTCCAGCGACTTTTACTTCGGCATAGACCAACAAACCACCATTACTTTCAAAACCTACTAACTAACACCATTGAAGGCCCCTCAGGGGCCCCTCAGGGGCCCCCCAGGTGCCCCTCAGGGGCCCCTCAGGGACCCCTCAGGGACCCCTCAGGGGCCTCTTAGGGGCCTCTTGGGGGCTACTTGGGGGCCCCTCAGGGGCCCCTCTGGGGCCCCTTGGGGGATCCTCAGGTTGCCCTTGGGAGACCTTTAAGGGCTCCTTGAGGGCCCCTCAGGGGTCCCTAGGGTACCCCAAGGGGACCCCTAGGGGGCCCCTAGGGGGCCCCTCGGAGGCCCGTAGGGAGCCCTTTGGGGGCCCCTTGTCGGCCCCTTGGGGTCCCCAGGAAAGGGGAACCCCAGGGGGACCCCAGGGGCACTGAAAGCGTACAGGGGCCCCTTGGGGGCCCCAAGAACGCAAAAAGCTCATGGGGGCCCCCATTTGGTCTTCTGGAGCACTGAGGGCCCTTAGGGGCCCCTTGGGGCCCCCAAGGGGCCCCTCTGCGCTTTTAGGGGGGCCCACTACAAGAGGGCTTCTTCAAAGGGGCCCCTGCAGGGGCCTCTATAGGGGCCCCTGC